AGAACCTCCAACACCTGGTCTCCTGTGGTCCTATAGAACCTCCAACAGCTGGTCTCCTGTGGTCCTATAGAACCTCCAACAGCTGGTCTCCTCAGGTCCTGGATGCTAACAGACGGTTGTTAAAGAAGAGGGGAGGCCTCACAGAGGAAACATGGACCTGGAACAAGTTTAAAGGGACGTGTTGCTGCCATCAAACTCAAAATTACTTTACAAAAAAGGTTTTTTTATTTATTTAAACATTTAATATATTTTCTGTGCTCTTCTGTGAATAAAATATGAATTGGTGAGAAATGTAAATCATAAGTCTGTTTTTATTTACATTTTTACTCAAGCCAATTTCCCAGACAGAGTTGAATTAGGAAACCGTATCGTTGAACTGTTTTCATGTCAGTTTCTTGTTAATTAACCTAATTCTGTATGAGATGCTCCACGACGTCTCCTTTGATGCTCCTTGTTGGAAACGCTTTCAGATCTGTTGCTGTCGTCAAACTGAGTTCATTCTACAGTTTTACCATTGATAATGTTTTTACATGTGCACAGTGGTCCCTCGTTTATCGCGGGAGATCCGTAACCAGAAGACCTGCGATAAGTGAAACCCCACGAAGTAGGAATAGTAGTACAAATAGTAAGTAGTTGTTTATTTTAGTATATATATATATATATATATATATATATATATATATATAAACCCTTCCCACACTTTTGCAATATTCTAAACAATGTTTCTAAACGCTCTAAAAGAGACAGAATGTCATGATTTCAGTTCCCTGCCTCCTCTGCATTTCGCCACTTGCAAGCGCTCTTGGCCACGCCCACTTCTCTGGTCTGCATGTTGAACAGCTGATCAGCTGCAGCAGGAAGTTTATCCTGCAGTATGGGCTGCACAAGTGTGCAGCAGGTGCAAAATAATTTAAAATAATTTATTTTATATAAACTTTTCGTGCCAATTGTGCGGCTCATCCATCAATCAGCCAAATGTGTGTCGTGTCCAATCTTATTTTGAAATACCGTGATGGAGCGAGTCCGCGATAACTGAACCGCAAAGTAGCGAGGGACTGCTGTTTATTCGTACTAATGTTTGCAGGTGTGCAGGAGACTGATGCACTAAAGAAGGCAACAAAGCCCAGCCAGTCCCCTGATGAGTGAAAGCTTAATGACTCCATAATCCCTCACCTCGATTATCTCCAGCATCTCCACTCTGGTGATTTTGCCGTCCCCATCCAGGTCGTACATGTTGAAGGCCCAGTTGAGTTTTTGCTCAAAACTGCCGCGGGACGTGATGGACAGGGCGCAGATGAACTCTCGGAAGTCGATGGTCCCGTCTCCGTTCTTGTCAAAGGTTCTGAAGGCGTGCTGTGCGAACTTTGACGCATCGCCGTACGGGAAGAACTGCAAGTGTGGAAACAGATGTTTGCTGTAGCTCAAGCTGACTTGTGCCGTGGTTACATGTTCAGAGAGACGCCTACATGAGGCAGCTGGCTCACACAGACCTTGACATAAAGTTGCTGGAACTCCTCCAGGTTCAGCCTGCCAGTGGGGCAGTCCTTCAGGAAGCCTTTGTACCACTGTTTCAGCTCGTGTTCGTTAAACTCTGTGTTCTTCACCAGATCCTCCATCACCTCAGGGGTCAGCTTGCTGTTTTGTTTCCCCATGATTCCTGTGGTACAACAACACATCAGTATTGTGTTATTAGCACAGAAATAGCACTAGTGAAAGATACTAATGATATTCTCATGGCCTCTGACAATGGACAGGTGTCTACACTGGTCCTGTTAGACCTTAGTGCTGCATTTGATACAGTTGATCACAGTATTTTACTACAGAGACTTAAATATGATGTTGCAATTACAGGAACAGCTCTAAACTGGTTTAAATCATATTTATCTGATAAATTCCAGTTTGTAAATGTAAATAATGAATTGTCTTCATACACCAAAGTTAGTCATGGGGTTCCTCAGGGTTAAGTGCTTAGACCACTACTCTTTTCCTTATATATGCTTCCATTAGGTAAAGTTATTAAACATGGGATACATTTTCATTGTTATGCTGATGATACACAATTATATTTGTCCATGAAACCCAATGAATCCAATCAGTTATTTAGACTACAAGCATGTCTTAAATACATAAAACCTGGATGATCCTACATTTTCTGCTTTTAAACTCAGACAAGACAGACATTGTTGTTTTTTAACCTCAGCATCTTAATTTTGCCGTCTCACTTCCTGGGCATGGCATCCATTTGGCCTCCAGTTTTAATGTAAAAAACCTTGGTGTTATTTATCAGGATGTCTTTTGACATAAAAAAAAAAGTTACCAGGACCGCTTTCCTCCACCTGCCTAATATCACTAAGATTAGAAACATTTCCAAAAATGACAAGTGATCACATTTGTGCTTGCTCAGAGGATGGGGAGACTGCGACAAAGTAAAGATTCAACACAATCTGCTGCTTCCCTTGTTGGAGAACTTTTGACTTTTTTAATGTACGTGAATGTTTCTGTTCAGAGCCGTGAGACGACTTCTGTTGGGACTTGGCGCTATAGAAATAAACTGACTTGAACTGAATTAATAAATATCAACAAGCTTGTGAGGTGGCATCATGAAAATCTTTTTTAGTTTTCACTTCAAACTCAAGTGCTCTGACTGAATGTGTGGGTCTTCTTGGTTGTAAATATAAATGTGTCCCTGATGTGTGCGTTCTATTTCTGCACCCCCTTGGCCTGTTTGTGCCAGGCACTAACCTGGATCATCTACTGGCAGAGCAGATCCAGGTCAGCAAATGTTTGATCACTGCTATCAGGTTTCCACTGAAAGCGTTGTGCTAAAACCTGACGATCAGAACAAAGCTTGTGAGGGAGACGCAGCTGCAGCGAGTCCACAGATCTGGGAGAGGGGGCGCCATGCAGGAGCTCAGCAGGCCCGCTGTAGTCTGGATCAGAGGGGAATAGGGTTTAGAACCAAGTGGTCTGTGCATGAAGGCAGCTGTGGAAAGTCCAGCTTGGGTAAGTTCTTTTATAATGAGAACGCTCAGCGGCTCCAAGAGCCTCCTCTGACGAGCAAACACTCATGCAGTGGCAGTTCTAGAGGGTGGCACAGAGTGGCTGCTGCTCCCAGGGAGGGGGGTCTTTGCGTCACTAATAGATTTCTGAACAGAATATCTTGTTTGCAGCAGGTTTTCCTGCATTAACTAAGATCCCATTACATCTAGTGTGAGGAGTGTTCATACGTTTGAGCTAAAACCAGCAGAAAAAACACGGAACAAGGTATCGCACAGCAAGTTAGGTAACTAAGGAAGTGGCTGCTCTTGGTTATTAGTCCAAGTGAAATGTTTTTCATTCGTTCAACCTTTATTTCTTCAGGTTCATCCCACTGAACCTCGGGGACTCATTTACAAGAGAGACCTGAATTTTTAACAAAGTGATGACAACAATGGACAACAACGGCAACAATAGACAATCATAAAAGAGGCGTACAAATTATTTTTTTTATTTTTTACGAGTTAAAATAAAATGGAAATAAATTACAGACACTCGTAGCTGAGCTCCAGAGCAGAGATGTGAATTCTTTCATCAGTGCAGGTACAAACTGGTCTACTTGAATGACTACAGCTCCTGGTCATTTCGTCACAGTAGTGGTTGCACAGGCTTGACGGGGCCTAACGGGGGAATACGCCATGATATATATTTTTAACTATAATAAGAATTTATCTCGGGGCAGCACGGTGGCGCAACTGGTAGAGCTGCTGCCTCTCAGCGAGCAGGTCCCTGGTTCAAACCCCGGTCCAGGGGCCTTTCTGGGTGGAGTTTGCATGTTCTCTCCGTGCATGCGTGGGTTTTCTCCGGGTACTCTGGTTTCCTCCCACAGTCCAAAAACATGCATGTTAGGCTGATTGGTAACTCTAAATCGTCCCTAGGTGTGAGTGAGAGAGTGAATGGTTGTTTGTCTCATTTGTCTGTCTCTATGTGGCCCTGTGATGGACTTGCGACCCGTCCAGGGTGTACCCCGCCCCTCGCACAGTGATTGCTGGACATGGGCACCAGCGACCCCCGTGACCCAAAATGGAATAAACGGGTAAAGAAAATGGATGGAATGGATGGAAGAATTTATCTCTGTGATTATGTCTGGCAAAAAAGTACAAAGCACTCGCAAGACGTTAACAATACAGCATGAAAAAGTCTCGCCTAGCCACATCAGCAGCAATGTAATGTTTAATTCATGCTGGTCCATGGAACTGCATGAAACATTTGCCTCGCTACAAAATAAATTTAAAAATTCAGCAGTTTTTTTGTTGATTCTCAGGATTTCCGATCACTGCTGTTTGTTCATATTTGCCCATATTTCCCCAGTAGGTTTAGTTTCAGTTATTTGAGTGTTCTGTTGCACTGTGGTTGATGAAGTCAGTCAAGGCAAGTTGGGTGGGGTGGGGGTGAAAGTGGTGATTTTGTATCAAAGGTACAGTCCCACACACCGAGTGCGCAGCCTCTGGCTCCAACAATACAACATGGCCGCTCCAACAAAAACACATTTTGATTTTGAACAAAAGAAGCGTCTTTACTCTTCTATACGTCCTTCATGCTCCACATAAAGATACATTGGTTGATTTGTTGCTGCACCCACGGATTATTGGCTCTACTAAATAAAAGTCAACAAACAGCTGGATGTTTATTTTGTTTGTTTTTTCTGTTTGGGAACACGGAGCGCTCGAGAAAATATCTAAGATGAGGACAACATATGGGACACAACTACGGTGGCCAAGTTTCTGAAATTAACGAGCAGCACGCTGATGTCTCCTGTCACTGAGGGATTTAACTGTGAATGTTAGTATCTTTGGAGATGAGTGTTTTTCTGGACTGGAACTGAACAGGGAATAAAATAATAGGCCTGTCGTGATAAACAATAAATCAATTAATCGCATGACAAATTAAAATTATCGACCTCGTTTTCATTTATCGTTTCTTTGTGTCTCTCTTTCTACTGAAGACACTGGATGACAAAAAGCTCAACTCCGGTGTTCTTCACTGACCCCGCCCTTTCTCTTCTCTCTTTAAAATCTGTTTTAACGATCCAAAATGGCGTTTTTGGATCGTTAAAAGCAGCTAATATGCGAAGCTAAGCTAACAGGCCAACCTCAGGGAAAAAACCTCCGTCTTGTCGAAGCTCCAAAATTCACAGTTGAAACCCGTGCCTTCGTGTAAAAAGTTGTTTTTCTCTGCAAAAAGAAGCTGAGATCTTGTTTACTGATATTTTTTTAATTAAAACTTTGTGTGACAAATGCTATGCTAAAGAACGCAAACGACACTGAGCGTCTGCCATTTTGAGAACTGAAAAAAAGGAAGGAGAGACAGCCCATGTCACGTCAAGGAGCCTCCCTCCCATTTTTCTTAGACACGCTGCTCGCTCCCTCACTATCCATCCTTCGGTTCAAACTGTATTATACTGTCATCCGGTGGTCGAAAAAAGGTACATTCAAAATAAATTAACCAACATTTCTTCTTAAATTTGACAATATTACTAATTAATGTCAAATTTCAAACAAAATTATCGTTTATCGCAATAATTTCTGAGACAATTAATCGCCCAGCAAAATGTGACGGGCCTAAATGTTTTTGATCCAAGATATTCCAGTGGATAAGAGTTAAACTGTAAACAGAGGAAGGTTTTTTCTTGTCTAAGGCAGCATAGAGTGATGGTCCTGGAGAGCCGACAGAGCAATTTTACCCACCACTGGTGCAGTGGAGGAGCCAGGGGGTGACCAGTGGTGGCCTTGGACCCCATACATTAATCTTTGGCCACCCCAATCATTTAAGGAAACGTTACTTTTAATCAATATAAAATTTAGAAATAAAAGTTTCCTCAAATAACTGGGGTGGCCGGTTTAATAATATACAAATATATGTTGGTAGCCATCTTGGATTTTGACTTTGCAACCCAAGTTTTGATGGTGACCGTTCTTACACCTAGATGCAGCCACACACCAAAATGGAAGTTGGTGCATTTCTTATTTTTCCAACTCATCCAGCTCACAAGGTTAACATGTATATTAACATGTATGTTAACCTGTTCATGCCGCCTTGTTGTTCCATGATGGGGGTTTTAAAAAAATAAACTGACTGCAGAGGGAGGGCCACTCTGTTGTTTGGATAATATTTGGTTGTGATGCGTTTTCTATTGGGAGTGGAAATGAAATGATGAAATCGTTGAGCGTGAATTCTTCTGACATGTTGGCAGACAAACATATTGGAAGAGTTTAAAAAAATCTGTCTCAGTTTTGCTTCTTTTAGCTTTTAGTTATTGTTTAGCTATTTTAGCAATATTTTACTATTTTTAGTTTTTATCTTGCCGTTTGCTACATTTTGCTAACATTATGCTACATACAGTCATCCTTTTACTACTTTCAGTTGTTATCATTTTAAAATGTTTAGCTAGCGTTATGCATCTTTAATGTTTTAGTTAGCAGTCAGCTTAGCTTCAATCTTTGCTCCTTTTAGGGAGCCCCTTGCTACTTGTAGCTTTTAGCAAGCTTTAGATACATTTAGCTAGCCTTTGGGGTTTAGCTGGCATTTTGCTTCTTTCATCTTTTAGCTACTGTTTTGCTTCTTTTAGCTTTAGAAATTCAGTGTCGGCTCTGTCAACATTTACACAGACAATAAGATTTCTCTGGTTTGTGGTAGGTGGTTCATGTTGCCTCTCTGTGAGAAGGTCACCGGTTCAAGTCCCGGCCGAGGTTCTTTCTGGGTGGAGTTTGAACGTGTGAGTTTTCTCCAGGTGCTCCAGTTTCCTCCCACAGACCAAAAACACGCATGTTAGGCTGATTGGTGACTCTATAAGTTGTCCCTGGATGAGAGAGAGAGTGAATGGTTGTTTATCTCGTTTGTCTCTGTGTCCCTGCGATGGACTGGAGACCTGTCCAGGTGTCCCAGTGATGGACTGGAGACCTGTCCAGGTGTCCCAGTGATGGACTGGAGACCTGGCCAGGTGTCCCAGTGATGGACTGGAGACCTGTCCAGGGTGTCCCCCACCTCTTGCACAGTGATGGATATGGACACCAGTGACCCAGAAGGAAAGCAGCAGGCAAAGAGAATGTATGGATGGATGGATGGATGGATGGATGGATGGATGGTTGGTTGGTTGGTTGGTTGGTTTGTGGTAAATCTGCTGTTGATTTGAATAAAAAGGTCCAATTTAATGGATAAACAAATGTTTCTATTAACCAAATTATGTTTCTGTGTTCAACGTGTATTTCTGCAGGAAAAACAAACTTTTATTTTTATTTTTTCCAGATGTGTAGAGACAACATCAGTTTGAACTGTTTTATTTATCTGTAAACAGATTTTAACTGGTTCTTAAAAAGGAACAAAGTGGATTCCTTAAGAACCACGTCTTCTTAGTGTCAGGTCGGTTCCTTATGTCAAAGCCTGTTGGCAGCCTGGACACATGTTTGCAGCAGGATGGACATGTCTCCATCGGGCTGGACATATCTGCAGTGGGTTGGACATGTTTGCAGCAGGTTGGACATGTCTTCTGCAAGTTGGACATGTCTGCAGCAGGTTGGACATGTCTTCTGTGGGTTGGACATGTCTTCTGCAGGTTGAACACATGTCTGCAGCAGGTTGGACATGTTTGCAGCAGGTTGGACACGTCTGCAGCAGGTTGGACACGTCTTCTGCAGGTT